AGCAAGACCAGCGAAGACCTTTGCCATCATTAATAGCGTCCAGAATTCTTCCTGTCAAACCAGCACATTTTAGATGGCAAATACCATCACAGAGCCAGCACGATAAGTAGCGTTCAGATTCGCTTTTAATTTGGCAGTTATCAAGACCACACTTCATATTGAAAGATTTAATAACACTTATGTTAATAAAAGACAAGCAAAATAAGTTTAACACAACACACACAACAATTTAGGAGCTGATGTATTTAGCTTAAAAATATATGTAGCGAACAGTTTGAGTATCTCTGTATTGTGACACTTAATAAACGCAACGCAAACAGCTGTGACAAGAAATAATAAAAGAAGTAACCAAAAAGAGCAAAAAGAAATGTGCAAAAATAGAAACGATCTCAGTTAACTACAAAGGAATTACAACAACAATGATAACAACAAATGACTCGGCAAGATTAGATGTATGCTAGTGAAATTTAATTAAATTTAATATAAACCACAAAAACCACAAAACTTTCACTTAGCTTCGATTATTATCACACTAAGATGCTCGTAAGCACTTTTTATAGCAACTTTTACTAGAATTAACACAATAAACTTTGCAAAATACAAAGGCAAATCAGAGCACAATATAAGTAGAACTTCACAGCTTGACGTTTGCTTTGGTCATGGTAAGTAACATAAAATAATGTCAGAAGAAAGTAATTATGTACCTTTGTACTATCTAGCATGTCATTTGACGGTAACAAGAGCAAATTCAATTTAAATCTATTAAATACATTCTTGCGTGTCTCAGTCCTTTACCCACAAAAGCGGCTATAACTTTTTTTTTCTATTTAAAACAGTAAGTGTGGTACCTTTCTGAAATCTTTATTAAATGAGAAATTTTTTTATGTAATGTAAAGTGATAGCTCTGTACAAGTCATATCAGATAGTCAAAGTTGGGGAAGAAAATATCAAAAAGTTAAAAATCCAGAAATAGTCCTAATTTTATGATGGTTCCTTAATATATTTTAATTACATTGCATTTGAGTATGGAGAGGCAACTATCTGGAAGTATTTTACATAAAAAATTGCCCGGTTTGTAGTTGCAGTTAAAGAAAACACCAGGAAAGGCACGATTTTTTTTAAATTGGAAAAATTTAAATATTTCAAAAACGGCGACACTTTTACCTGAAAATTTTTTGTTTATCAGGGAGCTCACCACAGACAAATTTTTTTTCCTACCATAACCAACCAAAACCTACCAAAAATTTTTTTGAGTTTTAAAATTTGTTTTCAATGTCAAATGTTTTAAAAACATAGTTAACATAACATTTAGTAGAACTAAAACACAACTAGATTAATAAAAACAAATTAACTGCGTATAATGATTCATTTTACTGTACAGACTTATCCATAAGTACATACGCACTAGATACGAATAGATACGCGTGCTCAAAAGTTGATAGCGAAAAAGAGAGGCGTACAAAAAATTTCGGCGAAGAAAGAGGGTAGCGCCAGAAAGGTTTCAATAAATGATGCGGCAATATGACGCGGTCATCGTATCGTTCGTTTAACCGTGCCTACGCCGTATCGTAAGACTTATCAGTAACTGGAATATGCAATAACATTTACGCGGCCTCTTCCTTTAAAAACGATTTCAGATAGTGGAACTTCTGCGTATTAGTGAGGTTAGATTTCATGGACAGCACTAACAAAGAGGCCTTTAAACGATAGTCACGCCCTGTACAGGCCCGAAAACGGCGGTATAATAATTTTTGGCAAGTCGTTTTCCTTGGATGCAGCTGCTTGTATGGGCTCCGCCGTGAACTGTTGCAAAAATGATGCTTGCTGTTCAACTAATTTCGCAAGAGAGACTGACTGCTCTTCTGTAACCAGTGGTTGCAACTCGTAAGGGATCAAGGGATCCCATTCCTACTCACCACCATAACCACAGCGATGTATAAGTTCAGCAAAGAAGCGGATTATACAGATCCAAACGTGGAATTTGAAATATACGAAGACAAGGTTATGCCAGCATGTGGCCGGCTTCGCACATTGCCGTACGAGTTGCAACGACTGGTTACAGAAGAGCAGTCAATCTCTCTTGCGAAATTAGTTGAACGGCAAGCATCATTTTTGCAACAGTTCACGGCGGCGCACTATAGGCAAAACACGAGTTTTTTTCAAAATCGGAGCTCTTCTGTTAGAAAAGAGATAATGGAATGAAAATTTTTTTTACGTGAAGATAAATGATCATATAATGAAGAAAAACTACACTGAAGTTACAACAACAATAACTTAACCCTTAAAATACCGTTCAAAATGTCACTTTTTTTTAATTTTGGATTTTGGCTCCCATTCCACTGGAAAACGCTACACTTAATGCACAATTAGCATTGTTTCTGAAATATTTCTCTTTATTTTATCTTAAGACTCGTTTTTTGGGACATTGGATGCTGTACCCGAGTGACCAGATTGGAAAAAGGAAAGCTTCCTTTAAACTCTAATAACTCGTAAACTATCAGCTTTCACAAAAAATTTTATATAACAAAAATGGTTAAACTGGTTGATATCTTTACGAAAGTGCAGCATTTAACTCTTCAATGCAGAGTCTGTCATATATGAGACGCTTTTTAACCACTTCAAGGCAGAGGCAAAAGGTTCTCAATATGTTTTCAACGTACTTTTTATTTACTTTTATTTTTAATTTATTTTTTTATTTTTAATATTTTTATTTTTTTTTTAAATTTATTTTTCTTATTATTATTTTACTATGGGAAAATTTTCTCCGATTAATATCTACGTCAACATGTGAAAAAGAACGTTCAAAAGCATATTGTGAATATTTTTCCTCTGCGTTGAAACGGTTAAAAAGCGTTTCACATATGACAGACTCTGCATTAAAGGGTTAAATGCTGCACTTTCGAAAGGCATCGACCAGTATAACCATTTTTGTTATAAACATTTTTTTGTGAAAGCTGATAGTTTACGAGTTATTGGAGTTTAAAGGAAGCTTTTCGTTTTCCAATCTGGCCACTCGGGTACAGCATCCAATGTCCCAAAAATCGAGTCTTAAGATAAAATAAAGAGAAATCTTTCAGAAACAATGCTAATGGTGTATTAAGTATATCGTTTTTAGTGGAATGGGAGCCAAAATCCAAAATTAAAAAAAGCGACATTTTGAACGGTATTTTGAGGGTTAAGTTATTGTTGTTGTAATTTCTCTATATAGTTTTCCTATATTATATGATCATTTATCTTCACGAAAAAAAAATTTTCATTCCATTATCTCTTTTCTAAGTGAAGATCTACGATTTTGAAAAAAAAACTCGTGTTTTGCCTATAGTGCAGGCCCATACAAGCAGCTGCATCCTAGGAAAACGACTTGCCAAAAATTATTATACCGCCGTTTACGGGCCTGTATAAGGCGTGACTATCGATTAAAGGCCTCTTTGTTAGTGCTGTCCATGAAAAATCTAACATCACTAACACGCAGAAATTCCACTATCTGAAATCGTTTTTAAATGAAGAGGCCGCACAAATGTTACTGCATATTCCAGTTACTGATAAGTCTTACGATACGGCGTGGGCACGGTTAAACGAATGATACGATCGACAGCGTCATATTGTCGCATTATTTATTGAAACCTTTCTGCCACTACACTCAAACATTAATGAGGATGTTAATATTACATTTACATTAACCCAAATGCGTCATTTGGGCGAGAAATCTGAAATGCGAAGCTAAATCACGCATTTCCTCATACAAATTCACATTTCCAAAATGACGCATTACAACGCATTTAAGCAAAATCATGAACGAAATGCGTTCCAACATGACATATTTTCTCGAACGCATCAAAAAATATAGCCCTGGCAAGGCTTTTGCTTATTTTTGACACTTGTCAATCGAATGTCTACACAATTAATAAAAAATCTGGAACAATCAAAAGTAAACGGTTAGTATTTTCATTTGAAATATTTTATATAATAAATAAAAAATATGTTCTTACAAACATGTTTAGTAAATGGAGAGTGCAAAAAAGAAAAAAACTAATTGGTCGCCGTTTGCGGAGGAGATGCTGCTGGAAATATGGGAAGCAAATATAGTGGACCTGCGTGGGGCCAGGAAGAACGGCCACATCTTTAAACAGATGGCAGAATCCCTTAAAAACGCTGGAGTGTGTGTCAGCAGTGAGGAAGTGCGGTCAAAAATAAATAACCTCACTGGGAAATATAGGTAAGCTAACTATTATATATAATATACTGGCGTTAAAATGTATATCTCTTATGTTTACAATTGCTTTCAGGAAAGAAAAGGGGAATATTGGTGTGTCAGGTGGATCACCATCAGACTGGCCACACTATCAGCGAGTACATGCCATTATAGGTGGTTTTAAATGCAATAACATAGAAGAACTTGTTGAAGAAAGTGTATCCATAGGTATGTATATGAAATTGATCATTTATTATATATGTGCGTATTTAATTTAAATACTTATGTACAAACACAATTTCAGAGTATTTATTTAACACTCCATCGTCGGAAGTACTGGACATTTCTGGGGCTTCCTGCTCTGACTCCCTCGCTCCGGTAGAGGTCGAGTGTGCTGGATGCTCCAAATCGAAAAAGCAGAAGTTAAACGCAAGTCTCATAACGGAAATTCAAGAGACGAAAGAGCTAATAAAAACAATGCATCAGGAAGAGAACGTTATCGATTCAAAATTAGTTAATATAGAGGAGCGACGGAATGTTTTGTTAGAAGAATTTGTAAGCGATTCTAAAAAGTTTCAAAACTCACTCTTACAAATTTTAAATAATAAAAATCATTAAAGACAGTGATTAAAAAACAAATTAAATTTAGTCCATTACTAATTCATTTATTTTCAGAGCAATAATAGTAATTGTTAAAATGTAGATTATTTTTTTCATGTGAAATAGTTTACAATAGATAAAATAAAGTAAGGGATCCTGCTTAATACTAACATTATAAATGCGAAAGTTTGTATATTTGTGAGTTTGAATGGATTTGCTTGAAATTTGGCAGGTAGATAGTTTATTACCTGGATCAATATGTACTTAGTTGCAACATATAAGAGTTGCGTCGAAAATCAAGCGGGTAGTGGCTGTCTAACTGTTTTAACAAAAAACATAAATAAATAGATATAAATATGTATAAATAAATAATAAATAAAGATACATAGAAATTTATGCTTACCTAAGAACATTGCTATAGCAGATCTTATATTTTCCGCTGTGAGGTTATTATCAGTCAGGGTACAATTAAACTCCGGCTGCGGTCGGACTACGGTTTCCTCCTGCTCCCGTAATTGTTGCATCCAGCGATTGTTTATGCAATCGTTTTTCTCGTTTAAAAAATTATGTAAAACACAAGCACATTTAATTATTAAATTTACATTGTCAATTCGGTTATCAAGACCTTTTCCAATTCTTCTAAATCTAGCTTTGAGATGACCAAATGCATTCTCGACTACCCTTCTGCACTTAGACAGGGCATAATTAAAGTTTTTTTCACTGAAGCTAGCATTCTCTCTATATGGATAAGGTTTCATTAATATGTCCGAAAACCGAAAAGCTGAATCTCCAAGCATTACAACTGGAACGTTAACTCCGTTTATTTGCGTAGACAAGTGCGTAAGGACAGGGTTTTGATGATGCTGTTTCAAAGCAGATTTCTCGAAAATGTGGGAATCGTTGCACCGTCCAGGGGTGCCTACGTTTATATACATAAATCTGTACCTATAATAAACAATGTGAGCATTTACTTTTTAGGCATATATTCAATACCAACCTATAATCCACTGATGCAAGTAATACTGTGGAGTACCAGCCTTTGTAGTTATAGTAGTCAGTTGCGTCACTAGACCGGGGACGAACTTCAATATGACAACCATCTAAGTATGATTTACGTAAATACAATGCGTCTGTATGAGTATATTTTTAAAATTTACCAACAGCGCTGATACATTGGGGGAATCCCAATTTTCCAAAACCATTCACACATTCTCGAACAGTAGCTTCACTCAGAGGATACTTATTAAGGTACGTAGGTTGCATTACCCTCCATACTTCCTTGCAAAAGTCCTTCAGAATCATACATACTGCTGACTTGGAAATACCAAACAGATTTCCTATAGTTCTGTATTCTGCGGAAGATCCCAGAGTATACACCGCGACTGCAATCCTTTTATCTAAAGCAATTGGTTGTCCAAAATTTGAAGCTTTTTTTTTCATATTTCGCATGGCCATAACCAATTCGTCAAAAGTTTCTTTTTTCATTCGAAAATTTTCTTTGAAGAAATCATCGTCGCTCTCTGGAACTTCTTGTTCCCAAAAACTACTCTGACGAGGCTGAAAATTGGGTAAAGTTATAATATTTCTTAATACTTGTGTTTTATTAAATTTCTGTTAAGAGGACTTGACTCTTGCAAAACTAGTCAAAAGTTCTCAGCCTTTCTTTTGGTGCGTATAACTCGGCAGCTCTAGTAAGGTCGCAGCGCTATTTGCTGTAATAATTATATTAAATATTTTACCTTTCTCCAAAATCGCTTGCGGCGTTTTTGCCTTCCACTGGTCAGCTGCACCAACATGTTCAGGTGCATAAGAAATCTCTTTTTTTCCGCCCTTATCCGCAGCCGCTTTTGTTTATAACAACTGCTGGATTGCGCAAGAGCTTCAACTCCAGCTTGCATTTGAATCAGACGATTCAATTCGGCAATAATAACCGAATTTACCAAATTTAATTCCATTTTTTCCCTTTTTAAAAATGTAAATAATATAAAACAGACGTTTAAAATTAACTGTCAGAGGAAATGCGAATGAGAAAATGTAAACGACTTTTAAATGACTCATTTGAAATGCGCATTTGGGCTCAATGTAAATGTAATATAAACCTTTACGCTAAATTTCAGTTAGTGCCAAAGAAGTTATATGAGGTTTGGATCAACTAAACTTCGAAAAAAATGGACTAGGCACCTGTTCACCTTTAGGTAGCGATATAATTTATGACGTACTTGGACCAAGATTCCAGAAAGGTCTGCCAATGGGCTGGTACTCAACCATATTTCAGGCGGAAGTCTTCCCAATTGAAGTCTGTGTTCGCGAATGTCATCGTAGAAGGCAAATGAGGCCAGAATAAATATTATGTCGGACACCCAGGCAGCGTTAAAGGCCTTAGAGTCTTTTAAAACGGAAGGAAAAGGATACACTGCAGACCTACTTAGGAGCTAGCTGGGAATAATCTAAAAGTGCTGCCTACTAGCGGAAGTCAAAGGGAATAAGACAGTCAAAGACATGTTAATTTGTTTTTATTAATCTAGTTGTGTTTTAGTTTTACTAAATGTTATGTTAACTATGTTTTTAAAACATTTGACATTGAAAACAAATTTTAAAACTCAAAAAAATTTTTTGTAGGTTTTGGTTGGTTAATGTAGGAAATTTTGGTGGGAAAAAAAATTTGTCTGTGGCAACGCTGACTACTTGTGATATGGTTATGGATACACCTACATTTACAAACATGAGCTCCCTGATAAACAAAAAATTTTCAGGTAAAAGTGTCACCGTTTTTGAAATATTTACATTTTTTCGAATTAAAAAAAAAATCGTGCCTTTTCATGTGTTTTCTTTAACTGCAACTACAAACCGCGCAATTTTTTATGTAAAATAATAAAATGTACTGAGCTATAGCTTTGCATTACATAAAAAAATTACTCATTTAATAAAGATTTCAGAAAGGTGCCACACTTACTGTTTTGAATAGAAAAAAAAGTTACAGCCGCTTTTGTGGGTAAAGGACTGAGACACGCTAGAATGTATTTAATAGATTTAAATTGAATTTGCTCTTGTTGCCGTCAAATGACATGCTAGATAGTACAAAGTTACATAATTACTTGCTTCTGACATTATTTTGTGTTACTTACCGGAATTAGTTAAAGTGGATTTTGTGAAATTGGACCCTTCGAACATTGTGTTATTAATACAAGTTCTTTGAATTAAACAAAAAGTGTTATAAAGATTACTTGTGTAAAATCAAACGACGTATAATATATAACCCCAAATCATTTTATGATTTCGTAAACTCCAAGCGAAATGTACGTGGGTTTCCTTCCGCCATGAAGTATCAAAATACCGTCTCTGGTGATAATCAAACAATTTCTAACATGTTCGCTCAGTTCTTTAAATCCAATTATTCCACTAACTCCCAAGCATACTTTGACTATCCTTTTAAACTAAGTCCAATTAACTCAATACATAACCCTATAATATCTCCCGATGATGTTTTAGTTTACCTGAAGTCCTTAAAGCAGTCTTTTAGTTATGGTCCTGACCAGATCCCCACTTGTTTTCTTAGAAATTGTGCTGATTATCTCTATGAGCCGTTAACAGCCTTATTTCATTTGTCTCTTAAAGAGGGCGTTTTTCCAACTTTATGGAAGGAATCGTTCATAACCCCCTTACATAAAAGCGGTAGCAGGTCTTCAGTGGAGAACTACCGAGGCATAGCTAAGCTTTCTGCAATTCCTAAATCATTTGAAGCAATTATAACAAATCGGTTGATGCATTCTATCACCTCAAGCATTTCATACAGTCAACATGGATTTTGCAAGGGCAAATCAACTTCTACAAATTTACTTGAATTAACATCCTATATCTCAAAAGCATTTAGTGAGAGCAAAACTGTTGATGTTATATATACTGATTTCAGTAAAGCATTTGACAAAGTGTGCCACTCGTTGCTCATCTATAAACTTGATCTTCTTGGTCTTCCACCTAATTTTCTACGTTGGATCTCTTCATACCTCTATGATAGATCACAAAGGGTATTGTTTAAAAATACTATCTCTGACGTCATTGATGTTACTTGAGGACTCCCTCAGGGTAGCCACCTAGGCCCGATTCTGTTCTTGCTTTTTATAAACGATATTTCTACAGATATAAAATTCTCCAAAATTTTAATGTATGCAGATGATGTAAAACTTTATAAATCGTACGTTTCAATTAAAGAAAGGTCTTTGCTACAATCAGACTTAAACAGCATGGCTTACTGGTGCAAAGTAAATCTTATGCCTCTAAATCTTAAGAAATGTAAAGTAATGTGCTTCTCGCGAAGAGCTGTTCTGCCAGTTTCTTATATAATAGGTAACCATAACCTGGAACAGGTATACAATTTTGTGGACCTTGGTATCACAATGGATCCTAAGCTTAATTTTAATCTTCACATTAATGTGACAGTCAACAAGGCTAAAGGTGTACTTGCATTTGTGAAACGATGGTCAAAAGAATTTAGTGACCCTTATATCACTAAAACCCTGTTTACAACATTAATTAGGCCGATTCTGGAATACGGCTCGGTGGTTTGGAATCCAAGGTACCAAATTTACTCAGACAAGATAGAATCAATTCAAAAACAATTCCTACTTTTTGCTTTAAGAAATTTCCGATGGGATTCTCAATATAGTCTTCCACCTTATAAGAGTCGCTTAAAACTTATTAACCTTCCTACACTTGCCAGTCGCCGGGAAATGCTTGGTATAATTTTTATGGTTAAATTACTGACAGGCTCAATTTCAAGTCCGTCTCTTCTTGCTGATGTAAGCTTTAATGTTCCCTCACGCGTATCAAGACACTTTTGTCCCATATTTCTGAAAGCTTGTAAAACCGATTTTGAATTGCACGACCCACTCCGTTGCTTATGCCAGGATTTTAACTCTCACTCCAGCACCTTTGATATATCTACGGTGGCCATATTTATGAAAGCAGAATACGGGACAAAATATAATTTTTGAAATTCTTTCCACACTGTTTTCTCTTAAGCAGTATCCTTATAGTAACATTACAAATTTGTAGGATAAATTTCTCCAAATTTTTGCCCCGTAAATTTGTTACGAAAAATTCGTTAAATTTTAGTATAACAAAGAGCAATTTTAAGTCGGTAAGCCTTACCACTAATTTTTGGCAATTTTTTTTTTGTTGAGGGTGTTACGCATTTTTTTCATACAAAATAATGAGTTACAAGATTGCAAACCAAATTTTTTCTACAGATTCTAATTAAAAAATTTGAAATTTTGTCGAAACATTGCAGAATTGATTTTTATAGTCTTTGCACTAAGTTGGAAATTTAGTATTATATCGTGTTTGTTAGGAAAAGAGCTTTACTTTCATAAAATAAATAATAAACTAAGGAAAATAGCCAAAACTTACTACAATATCGAGGCCTAATTTCATGTAGTGGCCCCTGTATGTCTTCCTCGACTCGAATCACAGGCATTCAGATTAGAAAATAATAACTTTTTATAAAGAAAATTACGATCATATACCAACATCACTTAAAACTCGTTCATAGGCATGCCATTTTAATGAGCTGTTAAGGCGTCGGAACACCGAATACGGGACAAATACAGGACATTAAAAAAAATATAGAACATTTGGCGTCCCGTATAAAATAAATAAATTACCAGGACAATGGGTCAAAAAAGAGGACTGTCCCGTATAATACAAGACGGATGGTCACCGTAGATATATCAGATCCGCTTTTCAGCATTAAGAAAGCGATACTCTCCTCTCTCAATAAGTGAATTATGGACATAAATACATAAAATCAGCTGATGAATTTAGTTCTGTAGCTGAACAGTTTTAGATCTCGACACTTAACAAACTCCTGCCTTTCGTGACTCGGCACAAAAATTTAAAATATTGGTTCCGTACGTCATGCGGACTGCGCCCCTCGTGCGGATGGGCGGGAATGGAGGGTAAAAACCGTTGGGATTATTATTATTATTATTATTATTACCGGAAATCGGACTAGAGTCTATAACAAGGGCTATATCTATCAATATTTTGTGTGAAGGATGGGTTCACGTGAAATAAGATATACATG